AAACACTAGAGTTTATCAGATGATGTAATTATTCAAAGGTGTGGTTTTGTAGCCGTGAAAAAATTCCACCTGCATCAGTTCTTTTCGTATTATAGAAAATTAAAACATAATCATATGCATGAAAAGGACAGACAACCAGTCATTCATGTAATCATATCATGCCACTACTTCTTCTTCCCGTACCTCAAAACATGAGACCAATCATTAGTTCCTGAGCTAAGTTTTCAAATCTTCATTGTCAGATAATCACCATTCATCAGAATCCCAAGTACTCTTCAACCTCTGACATACTCTCGAATTGAATTCTACTCTGTAGCCTCAACAGATTTTAGCTGCTGCTGTTTCTATTTGATGTCAAATGGGCCAAGTAAACAAACAACACAAACATGGCTGCAAAATATTCATTTCAAAACTTGACTTATAATTTACGGAATAAATCCCGGATCTAAATTCATGCTCTACTTATAAAGAACCTGAAAAACTAAATACTCTTCTTGTTTCTCCTAAATGTCATCTACTCCATCGATCAGCAGCGAATTGAGATAATGGCATGACTTCCGACAACGGAGTGAAAAATTGTGTTGAAAGCGGTGAGTTCCGACTAAGGGGACAAGACCCGTTAACTTCTAAGTTTCAACCAAGCATTGATGCAAAAGGCATGAAAATTATGTCTACAGCCGGGCATCATCTGATGCCTCAGTATCTTTGAATCCCTCTACTCACCCAAGGTGATCGAGCCCGTTGTGTTCAAGTTACTAGAAGCTACAGCGGTCAACTCTTCATTGAACAAGAACTTCGGGTAAGAAATATTAATGGCCTGGTTAAGTCCGACGATGATGTTTCGTTGTCTTCATCTTCAGCAACGAAAACAATTATCGGGAGTCTAATTCGATCCGAGTTGGAAATACAATATTAAATAATATCGCAGCACAATGTATCAGTCGCATAATATTTTTTTAAATCACTGCAATATTACAAATTACATCTGTAATATAAAAATATAATTACTTTTAAAAAATAAATCACGTTATAATGTTTGTGACATCAGCAACAACAATTTAGTACTATATGACGGCAACCGTAATTCAATACTATGTGACAATGGAGTAGTTAGAACATCTAGTGAGAGAAGCTCCCCCTTCTCTCTAAAAATTTAGGCGTTTTTCAAAAAATTTCGTTCTCCTTCCCCTTTATTTCCTTTAGATGGCGAGTTAAGTGAGAAGATCTGTTGGGAAAAGCTGCGTTATAGTGATTATTTTCAATATTCCAGAGCGTCTTCATCATCAAGGTCTTTGGTTATTGTTTGATAAATATGGCGAGGTGGTCGACTCTTTCATTCCCATCAAAAGAAGCAAGGGAGGAAGCAGGTTCGGTTTTGTCCGCTTCTCTAGATTGGAGGACGCGAGGAGGGCTATCTTCTGTGCTGATAGATCTTGGATTCAAGGTAATAAGGTTAGAGTTTTCATGGCGAGATTTCAACCTCGTGATGTTTTCTGGAAGAGAAAGGTTACTGGTTCTAATTCAGCTATGGTCAAGAGCAGAGAGGAGGATGTCAAAGAATCTCTCATTATCGGTGTAGTTGACGAGGATAAATGAATTACTCTTAGAGATAGTTTGGTTGGTTGGTGCAGAAAATTTATAAAAATGAAAGAGTTAGCTGCTGTTATGCACAAGGAAGGCATTTTAGGCCCAAAAATTATGAGGTTAAGTGGTTTAGAAATTCTGATCATTTTTGAAGATGAAGAGAGTAGAGACTTTGCTCTAAAAAATCAGATTGGAGCGTTGAATAAATGCTTTGACAAGGTGGAATTGTGGTTAGAAAACTTTCAGTGTAGCAGCCGACGGGCATGGTTATCGTACAGAGGGATTCCACCTTTTGTGTGGAGCCATTCTACGTTTAGAAACATTGCAGGAAAATGGGGAACTCTTATCTCAATTGAAGCAGGGACCTTAAATCCTGGCTCGTTTGATAGGGCCTTATTTTAGATCATTACGAACTGTAAAGTTCGAGTGGAAGAATCATGTGTTTTGAAAGTCGGGGATCAGTCTTTTACAGTATTTGTTTCCGAGATTGAACCTTGTTTTAGCCCTGATTCCGTCTGGGAGGATTCGTCTGTATCAGAAACGACAATTGCTTCACCGTTACCCACAGAGGGGGACCTCGATGGTGTCTCGCCAATAAAGTCTTCCGAGTTGGCGGTATGTACTGGAACATTTTCACGAGTTAATTATGATTCCACTAATATTAAGGAAGTTCAGCTAGAAAATCGAGCATTTATTGATGGCACGCATATTGGGGGCGGTATGTGTGGTTCAGGGTGAGGTATGGTCTGTTAAAGCTGTGTCCCCGACAGTCAGTAATGGGGTAGTTGCGCATGGGACTGATATCAATTCTAAAAGGTTCTCGGAGACCAAGAAGGTGGATTTTGTTAGTGGGGCAACTGTGCAGGAGCATGTCTATCAAAGTGGTGGTATTTTTCAGGCTTTGGAGAGTGTTAGTGGGGTACACGAGGAAGTGTTGGTTCAAAATAAGAGAGGGGCAGAAGAAGACAGCATGAAAAGGGTGTGAACCTACACATGCTTCTGAGGAATATTCTTTTCATTCCCCCATGTTGGATGGTCGTGTTTCCATGATGGATGGGTGTCAGAAACAAAAAGTTGTGGAAGAGAAGAAGGAAATTTTTAGTTCTCTCAGAAATTTTCAAGTCAAATTTTCGGCTCAAAATAGGAAGCCTCGTTAAAGTCGAAGTATGAGTCCTCAGAGTAAGGTTAAGGCAGTGGGTGTTTTGGAAATTTCAGGTGATTCCTTTCTTTTATCTGTATGAAGTTGGTTTTTCGGATGGTTTCTGTCGACTAGTCGAGCAAGAAGAGGCGTTAAGGTGGAAGCTGATTCTTGTACTCTGTTCGTGTGGAAGTTCAGGATTTTTTCTTTTATGCGGATGTTGTTTCTGGTTATCTGTTCGTGCGGAAGTTCAGGATTTTGTTTTTGATTTTGTTTGTTATGGATTGAGTTAGCTGTGATATTCGGCTTCTGGCTTGTTTTGTGTTGGTTTCGGGCTATGTTCAGGTGTTAAGGCTGGTCAGTCATTTTTGTGATTGTTGTAGCTTATAAGGTTTTAGCTGTGTTAATGTTGTCGTGTAGGGTTTTCTTGGTTGTTTGCTTATGTTGGGGGTGGCGACCTAGTTGTATTCTTATGTTTTTTCTAGTTAATGAAATCTTAAGGCACTCTTTTCCTCCTTCCGCTGATTAAGGAGCTTTTTACAAGATCCTTTAATCAAGAATGAGGTTTTTAACGAGGCCTGTAATTCTTATAAAAAAAATACTATGTGACAATAGTGACAATGGCATTGGAGAGTGCGAAACAAAGCGGAAGATGTCGGAAGCAAGGATAATGGTGGAGAGGAGAAAAACAGATGTAGGAAGCAAGTAGAATGGTGGAGAGAAGGGCGAGAAAACTGACGAAAATGGCGATAGAATAATCGAAACCTAAGTTGGGGAAGTAAATAGGGGAAGGAGTGGGCATTTGGGGTGAAGGGAATGATTCATTTGATGTAGCATAGAAAGAAATAAAAGGAAGAGAGTGGTTTAGGGGTGTACATAGGTCGGTTGGATTTTCAGTTAACCTAATTAGATCCGAAAATTATAAATCCTCCACCTATGTCGAATCCGGCCCAAAAAATATATACCCTTTCACTCTACTTAATTGATTTTTGTAAAAAATTGAAATCTTGGCATCAAAGAACATCTGAGGTAAAAAAACAAAAATTTAAATTATATCTTATAAAATGTTACGGGTGAATTTTAATAAGAGAAAATAAACTCAGTGACCAAAAATGCCTTATAATATACGATTTTAACCAACTTTTTTTGGATTTGCCAAAATGACCAACTAAATCGCAATGTGATCGATAATTCTTAAGAAACAAATGCAATACCACCAGTCGTTGCGATTTTGGACTATCGCAACGAATTTGAAATAAATCGCAACGCGAACTTCGACTATCGCAACGAACTTAGAATAAATCGCAACGCGGACTTGGAATAAATCGCAACGCGGACTTGGAATAAATCGCAACGCGAACTTCGACTATCGCAACGAACTTGGAATAAATCGCAACGCGAACTTCGACTATTGCAACGAACTTGGAATAAATCGCAACGCGAACTTCGACTATCGCAACGCGAACTTGGACTATCGCAACGAACTTGGAATAAATCGCAACGCGAACTTGGACTATCGCAAGAACTTGGAATAAATCGCAACGCGAACTTCGACTATCGCAACGCGAACTTGGACTATCGCAACGAATTTGGAATAAATCGTAACGCGAACTTCGACTATCGCAACGAATTTGGAATAAATCGCAACGCGAACTTCGACTATCGCAACGAACTTGGAATAAATCGCAACGTGAACTTCGACTATCGCAACAAATTTGGAATAAATCGCAACGCAAACTTCGACTATCGCAACGAACTTGGACTATCGCAACGCGAACTTGGACTATCGCAACGAATTTGGAATAAATCGCAACGCGAACTTGGACTATCGCAACGAATTTGGAAAATCGCATTGCGATAGTCGAAGTTCGTGTTGCGATAGTCGATGTTCGCGTTGCGAATCTGGAAACTAATTTGATATACCGGAGATCGCGTTGCGAATTATCGATCGCATTGCGATTTAGTTGGTCATTTTAGTAAATCCAAAAAAAGTTGGTTAAAATCGTATATTATAAGGCATTTTTGGTCACTGAGGTTATTTTCTCTTTTAATAATATGATAATGTATAATGTAACATTTTTAATATACAAAAAACAAATCCAAGCTGATAATAAGTTTATTTATGATATTGCAGTCCACGTTTTACATGCAAATAAGAATGGGAAAAGGAGAGTAACATATATATGTATAAACACAGGTGTATTGGAAGAGCAGAAGGTTCAGTTATTTGAGGTGGCCTTTGAACCTGCTAATTAGTTGCAGAACAAACATAAAAGATTTAAAACCTAGAGAGGAACTGCATTTGCTTGAGAAGAGGAGCCAGGGTTTCCATTAGCTTCTCACAAGGATGATTGTGAATGCCTTCATACGTCGTCACCACGACCCCCGTGTCCTTTGAAAGCCTTTGAATCTGCTTCTTCACATCGCATGTGTGATGTGTACACCGGTAATAGCTCCTCCATTCAATAAATAAAAAAAGCTGAATCATTAAATTAAAAGTCTATAACATAACCAACATAACTAAATAGTTTTTACTTGACGCACTACTGTAATTTAAAGTAAAATAAGTTTTTTTGGTATAACCCACCGATATCTGATCAATTGATCGATTAATCTAGATCGGATATTGCAGAGGCAAGGGCGACCCTCCCAACTCAGTTTGCTCCATTTACAACCATCAAGATTCGAACTCCTGACCTTGCTTAAAAGATTTAGTGCCTCATACCAATTGAATATCGGTTTAAAGTCAAATAAGGTAATAGTAGGACTCAAACCTTGATTCTTATTAATATGTTAATGAGTACTTAATTAATTGAACCAATCTATCATGATATTGTTAGGAATTTTTAAAAGTAAAATATAAATTATCTCTTACTTATATAACATTATTAGGTTCAAAGGATGTATTAATAAAAATTATTAGAAAATATTTTCGTTATTGAAGTGTAATCTTATTCATTAACAATCTATATAATGTTAATGTTTTACAGATAATATGTAATTTTTATATAATGTTTTAAGTCCTGATTTTAGATTCACTAAGCGCACTTCTTTTTCTTTTCTTATAGTCTCCTCTTCCCGAAATAAAATTGGAATTAAATTTAAAATTTGTCAAAACATTATATAATGACATATTATAATAAAATTTCGCAATTATATTAATTTTATAAATCATCATTTACTTCGTTAACAATACATAAAATTATATAACACATCAAATATTAACTCATAAATATCATTGTATTTTTGTTACTTGTACATACATGAAAAACTAAATAGCTAAAAGCAGGCATGCGTTAGTTACAATAAATAGGTTATCACTAGATTATACTAACATATGTAACTGAAGCATCCTCATCTCAGTTCGAAAATTTGAATAACATATAAATGCTTATAATTTTAGGTATAATACATTTAATCTTAATTTTTTGACAAAACATTTAATCTTAATTAAGTGGTATATAAATAAATAAACATATGCATTAAAAGTTAAAAATATAGAGTTACGAATAAACATGCATGCCATGCAACGTATACATAGAGATACAAACCTTGGATACATGCTATTCTTAACAGATTTCTGACCATACTTTCTCCATCTGTAACCATCGTCCAAAATGTCATCTTCACTTCTGGTTTGGAAAGCAAATCTGGGCTTGCTTCTCTTTTTCATCCTACTACCTTTCCTCTTATCCTTATGACCTTTATCATCATCCTGTTGAATCTGATAACCACCTCCATTTTCAGAAATCATATGATTTGAACCACTCCCAATCATTACCTTGTTCTCCTGTCCGAGACCAGAGAGGAGGCTAACCCAGTCGATGTCGGGAAGAATATTTAGACTACTTTCCAGAGGAGGGTTCAACGAGGAAGATGGAAAGAGGAAAGGGACGTTAAGAGGTGATAGTAAGGGCGGCGGCGGCGGTGTACTTTCTTGGCCGTCCATGTCAGGATGAAGGGTTCCGGGAGAAAATATGGAGAGGGAGAAGAAGTGAGAATGATGAAGAAAAGAGGTTTTAAAAGAGGGGGAAGAAAGCGGGGGAAGGTAAAGAGGTTGGACTGCCCCACAAGAGAGGCTTTTTTAATTCCTTTCTCTTGCAAACTTGGTGAACCCAACAATATCTCAACTACTTCTGTTAAACTGCCTCTGGTCCTGAAGTAATAAGCGAAACACGTTAACGCCAAAGCATGCGATAAACTCATATATATATTTGTGTATGTAATTCCTCGATAATTAATTCAAGTGTTAACTCGGAGCTGCATTTTCCTCCTTCCTCCCATAGTTTTGTGTAGTTTAGTCACTTACTGTAGATGACAATGAAAACTTGGATAATAATATTCTATCCAGTAACTCAGCTTCTTTGAGGGTCACACTTAGCCAATTCAATAGACTTTAGGTCATGGGATATACTGCACATGAAAATTTTAAATTTTTATATAACTTAAATATTATCAAGTTAGTGTACGGCGTGCTTAGGAGAGTCCTGATTAGCTCACCCATTAATTTCCAAAAAGTTGACTCCTTACTCTAATGCCCTGTTGTCTTATTTCAGCTTGAACTTTTGCCAAAAACTTCCAACATCGCTTAATTAAATTACCATGAACAAAATCTATAGTCTTAAAGAAATTGAACACTATCACCTATGTGACTTGAAAAGGCCATGGTCCACTACGAGGAAGGAAAATCGGAACACATTTCTTTATCCTTGTAAAATCCAATTTAATGTAGTTTGTTTTACATAATAGAGAGTGTGCAATTGGTTAACTAAATTTTAAACATTTATTATAAACAAATAAAAACTTTATTATAAAATAATTTTTAATATCCTCTCTCATCTTTTTTTTCTTTACAATTTGCGTCATTTTTTATAGATCAAACCAACTTTTTTTTTAATTTTGTTTAGCCAGCGACGACAATAGTTTTGATATTGGTTGCCGATCGTCGGTTGTATTTTTTCTTTTTTTCTTTTTTAATTTTTTTATAATAATAATTATGTTTTTGTGACACGTTTATCTCTGTTCTTTGGTAGTTTTCGGTTTTTTGGCTGTTGTTTTCGTTTGTCTTTTTTCTCAGGGTTGGATTTGACACGACTGATCAATATGGCACTTATTTGTTATCATGTTGATCTTCTCTGCTTTGGACCCTCGGATTGATTTGGATACACATTTTAAGTTTGTGGATAGTTTTCTCACGCCGCTCGACTCTGATTTGCGATTTGTTGATGATCTTTTAGTAATTTCATCCCCTTTTATGGTTTATTTGCCGATGCAATCGGGTTTATTCGTATATTTATTTTGTTCGAACTTTTTGGTTAGATTTTTTAACATTTTCCTTCTTTGGTTCTTATAGGATCTAGGTGGCTATTTTTGTCTCATTGGTAATAGGAAAATATCATAATTATATTTTAAGTTTACAGTTATGTTTGTAAATCTTTATTGTAATTTTAGTTATTTTATATTTTAATAAAACTAACGACTTTATAAAAAAATGACTTTTAATATGATATATCTTTTTTACTTTTTTTCAAAAACACCTATATCTAAATTGACGCACACATATAGACTACGTTACTTGAATATGGATCATTAAGGGATAACACATTTTTCTTAATCATTTAGGGTTTATGTATTTTTACTTTAAATACTTAAATTACAGGTAAAATTAGAAGAATAATGTATTGGAGGGAGAAAAATAGGGAAATGGGGTTGGTGAAGAAAATAGAAAAAGGGTGAACATGATCGAGGAAGAACTCATTATGTGGGTTTTGCTACGTGGGAGTGTTAGCATGATAAATCAGCATCATGCTCGTGCTTGTGCTGCTATGCGTGTACCTAGCTTGCATGGTGTGTTAGTTAAGTAGTTAGAAGAGGTGGTTAGTCTAGCAGTTTAGGTTGTTAAAGTCAGTTAAGGAGTCTGTTAAGCATAAGCTAGCTCCTCGGAGTTGTATATAAACAACAACAGCGTTGTACATCGATGTAGCTTTTTATGAGCATAAAATACAAGTTTAGTTTCACTTTCTACTGATTTCCTAACATGGTATCATTCGCTATCGATCGTGGGATCGCATGTTCTTTCTTTCGCCTGTAATCTAAAGTCGCCTGAAGTACTGCTTGCTCATGGATCTTTCATCCGGTGCTTCTCGTGGTTTCACTAACAAGAAGGTTAATGTGGTTCTTGATGAAACCAACTTCTTGTTATGGAAACAACATATTCTACTCATGGTTAAAAGCCATCGACTGGAGCGGATTCTGACTGATGTTGTTTCTACTCCACCAATGTCGATTCTTGATGACAATGGTGAGGCTCAAGTGAATGAAGCTTATGAAGAGTTCATTGCCCAGGATAGTGTCCTGGCATCTTGGTTGTTATCAACCGTAAGTACGCATCTCTTATCACAATTTGTTGGAGTTGAAACAGCTGTTGCAGTATGGGAAACAATACTCAAAATCTTTACAAACCGCTCTACAATATCAGTTATGAGTTTACACTATAAATTGCAATCTATCAAGAAAGAAAATGATAGTATGCGTATGTATCTTACACGCATTAAAGAAGTTTGTGATGCCCTTGCATCGTGTGGGAGTGTTGTTCCCCCAGTCGAACAGATTGTAAGCATTTTGAGGGAACTCCCTTATGAATATCAGTCATTCATGGCTGTTGTCTCCACCATGAAAGAAGCTCTCTCAATTGACAACATTTATGCTATGTTGATGGATGTTGAGGTGGAACTTGCAGGATTTGATGAGAAACATGACAATTTGCCCATAAGTGCAAATTATGCTCGGAGTAATATTGATCGTGCTTTCTCCAATAGCCAGGATCACAGGTCTGGTCGTGCATCGTCTGCTGCAAGAAATGGTGGTCGAGGACGGGGTCGAATGCGTGTTCAATTCCAACTCTGTGGGAAGCTCGGTCACCTAGTTGATCGTTGTTGGAACTGGTTTGTTGAAGACTTTACCTGTGTACCAGTCAACAACTACCCTTCCTCCAAGGATAACTCCACCAGCAACTATTCCACGAATGGTTCAAACTCCACTAGTAGTAATCAGGGGTGTGAATGTTGTTCTCGAAGTAAGATGGAATCCCAAGTAAATGTTGCTGCAGCGAACTCTGACCGATGGGTTATAGACTCCGATGCCACTCACCATGTCACCATATATAGAACAAACCTTACAACGCATATGAATTTCATAGCCCATGTAAACTTACTGTTGGCAATGGTAACCCGTTAGACATTCAGTTGGTTGGTGATTCAAGTTTACCTTCTGCTTCTAGAATGTTGATTTTTCATGATTTTCTGCATGTTCCTCGTGTAACCAAGAACTTGTTTTCGGTCTCAAAGCTTGCTAGGGACAACAACATATTTTTTAAGTTTCATGCTAGTAGCTGCTGTGTACGAGATGAGGTGACTAGTAAGGAAACTGGAGGGCTTTATTCATTTGTAATGAATAAGACTGCGAGGAAAGACAAGTGCACGTTTGCTGACATTAGCCTTGTTACTAAAATTGTACCTAATGAAATAGAGGAGTTGTGGCATCGAAGGCTTGGCCATCCCTCTAGTGATGTGCTAAAATAAATTACTAAAGAATTTGATGTAATAGTTGTTGTTGATGTTAATAAAATATGCATTGCCTGTAATATTGGCAAAAGTCACAAGTTACCCTTTGTGCAATCAAATACAATGTATGATACACCTTTTCAACTTATCCTTACTAGCTTATGGGGACATCCACATGTTTCCTCGAATGGATTCAGGTTCTATGTGTCATTTGTTGATGCATATACTCGACATATATGGGTTTACCTTCTAAAATACAAGTCTCATACCACTGAAGCCTTCTTTTTATTTCAAAGAATGGTGTTAACCGAATTCAATGCTTCCATTAAATCTATCCAGAGTGATTGGGCTGGAGAGTTTCGTAGTTTTTCACCCCTACTAATCAAAGATTGCATTGTACACAGGCTGTCATGCCCTCACACATCCGAGCAGAACAAAATTGTTGAAAGAAAGCACATACATCTCATTGAGATGGCACTTGTGTTACTGGCACAAGCTTCCTTACCTATGGAATACTAGTCATATACTATAATTGTTGTTGTTTAGTTGATTAATAAATTACCTACTAAGGTTCTGCAGGGAATCTCTCATAGTGAGAAGCTGCTGGGAAAGAAACTAAACTACAATGAGCTGAAAGTGTTCGGTTGTCAGTTTTTTCCTCACCTGCGACCTTTTTAAGCTCATAAACTTGCGTTTCGCTTACAACCATGCACATACCTTGGTGTCAGTCCCCAACATAAAGGATTTCAGTGTCTTACAGCCGATGGGAGGGTTTACATATCTCGCCATGTAGTTTTTAATGAGAAATTGTTCCCTTTTAGAGGTCGAGCAGCTATAGTTCAACCACATGTGATTAAAAATCAACAGTCATAACCTAGAAATTGTAACTAAAATGCAACGTATATCTGGTCATCATGTAAACACTCCAGGCAGTACTGAGTCAGAATCTTCAGTATCCTATGGTATGGAAGATGCGAGCATGAAAAAAGATACTGGTGAATTCTCGAGTGTGGATGCATCCACTGAATCATCTGCTGAACCTAGTCTTGAACATGGATGAGAAGTTGTGGACCTACCTTATAGCATGGTTGAATCGAATAATGATGCGCCTAACAGTGAGGCTCCAACTAGTGTTGATCCTAAAGCCCCCTGGTATTTTTGTACCACCTATGAATACTCACTCTATGCTTACAAGAGGGAAATATGGTATCTTTAAGCCTAAAGCCTATTCAAGCTACTTTGACGAAAATGTTCCCTCAACCGTGGCTGAAGCCTTGATATCTCCAAAATGGGATACAACAGTCCAGGATGAGTTCGATGCACTTCAAAAAAATGGAACCTAGAAACTTGTTAAGCTTCCTTCTAGACTTACTGCAGTAGGTTGCAAGTGGTTGTTCAAAGTGAAAAGG